ATTCCATCAGAAGATCTAAACTGTCTGTTTTATAGTAAATACGTCACATATTTAAAGTCTTTGGGGTTTCAGGACTTGTTGAATCGGAGGCTCGGGTCAACATTTATAGTCAATAACCTGAACAACAGACCACCGATGAATTACATTGTCCCCAGTTTGTAAAGTCACTTTGTTGCCAGAATGAGAAAGAGCAGAATGCTGAATCTACATGATAATAAGACATTAGTCATTAAGTCATCAGTCACCTCATTGGGTGTAAACATTACATTACAGGTCATTTAGCAGACGCTTTTATCCAAAGCGACTTACATTACACTTTAAACACATGGCTTTTTTCACATTTTGCCCGGGGAGCAATTAGGGGTCAGGTGTCTTGCTCAGGGACACTTCGACTTGAGACATGGGGCAGCCTGGACTGGAACCTTGCGGTTCCCAGCGCACCCGCTCTTCCCCCTGACGACACAAATACTCCTTTGACAGACAGGAGTCTGAGTCAACAAAGCGAACAGTCCGAGGGATGTGAAATCCTTTCATAGTTTTTCTGATGTTTCTGTCCTTGCTGCATCTCCAAAAAGAGGCGTGTCTCTTCAAACAGGTCCGACTACAACTGACTCTAAACCACGCCCACCACCACACGGCTACTTAAAGCAGCGTCTCGTTAAAGCCTCAGGCTGTAACACGTCGTGTCCTCGCTGCGCACCTCGAGCTGTGAAGAGTCCAGACAGAAGAAGAAGAACCGCGTTCTGAGGACATGCGAGGTAATGAATTAATGAATTAATTAATGTCTTGATGTTGGTGTTTGTATCATTTGGTCAAACGCATCCGTCCTCCTGCTGGAGTCAAATTAAAGATGAAATCTTACTTTAAGGGTTCTGAACAGAAGATGGTTCCGTGAGTTCCTGCCGCTGTCTTTAAGGAGTGTTTTAGTTCGTAGAGGGTTAATGAACTGGTCCACACTCCAGTACAGGACGTGCAGGCTGATGGTACCCAGACAAAACTAAAACAATCTTTATTAAATACTTGTCTTTAATAAAGGTGCATTTTTATTTGTACTCTTTATTCTTGTGTTTATAGATGCAATATGTGTGTTGGGATTACAAATGTAGCAGTTACGCATAATCAAATACTAAGAAGTGGCAGAATAAGCAGCTTTTACCGTCAATTCAGTGCGGATCTTCAACATGTTGCGCAACTCTGCTGTGCACGTAAACCGGCCAGTAATCACGTGACGTGTCCAACATGGACCAATTCATATCCAGATGTTACTGGACAAATAATCTACCGATTAGTGAGTCGGCAACTATTTCAGGTTTAATATTAAACTAATAAGTTTAGTTGAGTGATGCCAACTGCAAGACGTTTAACATCTAACTCCACTACTGGTGTGTTTATGGACGTCGAGGAAAACAGCTGTATTCAAACGTAAAACATATAATCCCAATCAAACATAAAGGTACAGCAGTTCTATATAAACACATGTTTAAGTCCTCTGATGAAAGTCTCAGTTACGGAGTCCAGATAATGTCACTTTGTGTTAAAGTAGACTGCGTGTCCGGTGTGTGTTGGGTTGCGTGTCGGTTGATATGTCCTTTGATGTTAAAAGTGCTTTTAAGATAAAACAAGTCTTTTTTTAAATCGATAACAACAAAGATTAAAGTTCCCTGTTGCAGGAGCGAGATGAGTCTGTGCTGGGGAGTTCTGTCCTTGATGATAGTGTGGCCTGCAAAGAAATACTTCTCTAAGTGAGGATATTAAAGGATATTTCAGTTGGAAACAAAGTCTAAAGAGATGTAAAGACATAGTTTCCTGATTGATTCCTGAATGAGTGAATATGGCAGAGGGGAAGAGAGAGAGAGACCCGGATGGTGACACACTCAGGGGGCTAAAAAAGATTCAATTCAAAAAGAAAAAATGTTGCGAAGTTAAGCGACTGTAAATAAAAAGTGAGGACTTTATAGCTGTATTAAGAGTTTCAGTTGGAATCACTGGGTGAAGGAGTCATGGTTTTGATAGGCTGTCGGCCCGCCTCTATCCTCATACCATAGATTGCACACGTGCACTCTCCGCCCACATGGTCCTACTGTTCAGGCTCTGCAAACCCTTCAGCGCACAAAGTGACAAATAACCACCAAGGGGTCCGGAAGTATTATTTTATTCTTACTTTAAAGCTGTAAATGTGTTTAAACGTCACAGACTGAGGAGTTTACTTGTTGAAGAGCTTCAGTTCACATCACTCAAGACGTCCAAGGTAAAGAGAGAATGACTCAATGTTGGTGTGATTATATTAACATTTATTATGTGACGATTCATGGATTACACAAAATATTTAAGGTTTTATCGTTGTGTTCATTAAAGATAATTAAACTGTGAACAGGTGAAATGTATTTGACAGATCAGGTCAGTGGAGCCAGAGGTTTAGAGATTCATGTGAGCTCTGAGGGGGCGTCGCCCCTCAGAGCTGCTCTGACGCCGCCCACGTGTGCAACCTATGGTATGAGGATAGAGGCGGGCCGACAGCCTATCAAAACCATGACTCCTTCACCCAGTGATTCCAACTGAAACTCTTAATACAGCTATAAAGTCCTCACTTTTTATTTACAGTCGCTTAACTTCGCAACATTTTTTCTTTTTGAATTGAATCTTTTTTAGCCCCCTGAGTGTGTCACCATCCGGGTCTCTCTCTCTCTTCCCCTCTGCCATAAACACTCATTGACACAAGGGTCGCGGGTGGGGGGGCTGGAGTCCATCCCAGCCAACTTCGGGCGATAGACAGGGTACATCCTGGATTGGTCGCCAGCCAATCGCAGGGCCAACACAGATATATACTAATATACTAGACTAAGTTAAACAAACACGTACAGCTGTTATTCCCTCGATTGTTTACTCAAGGATTAACACATTCAAATACGAGACAGTTATATGGAATGGTTTCATTAATATAGTCACCTAGAAACCTCACGAATGGCTACTCGATACCTCGGTTTCACCTCATCATCAAACATTGGGTGCTTAACTTGACACGTAGTGAGCCACACCCGTCTACCTGGGGAAGCAACGTGCACCCTTGTGACAACTAAAAATGGCTCCCTTTAACCAGAACGGTAAACTTAACAGAGAATATAGCTTACTTCTAACGGCATTTCACATTGTGCAATTGTGCCAGTCCGCATGAGCTAACCGGGTAACTGCGGTGTGTATGGGTGCGTGTGCGTGGTGGTGTCAGCTCCGTTGCTGTACAGCAGGAGCGGTTGGCGTCTGCGTGGGCCACAGTGCGGCTATCGTTCAGTTCACAGACAGTTCTGTTCGTCGTGGGACGTCCGATGGCTGGCAGGGTAAACCTCCAATGAAACGTGTTGTCCTGACTTCATGCGCCCCCTTTCCCGCGCAGCTCACGCACGGAGTGGGGAGAGGTGGACAGAGCTTTTAGCACGTTGCACCTCGAGATGTTGATGTCCCGGCTTGCTCTTCCTGAACACTCCTCCAGTCATCTTCATCGGTGCACCGCCATCTAGCCCCAGCTAAATGCAACAGTTAACTTTAACTTTACTCCAACGCCGCACGACTTCGGCGCTCGCGCTATCCGAGGAAACGTAAACCCAGACGTAACCGCGTTACTGGCTTAAACGTGTCACTTTGACGATTCCTTTTTTCATCCGCCCTATTGGCTGCCGTGCTGAACAGTCCAGCCTCAGCACAACCTGCTACCCTGCTAGTCTGCTAGCTGGCTGCAAACTGTGGAATGGATTCCTGAACGGAGGCGCGGCTCAATAAGACAGTTATGAGACACGCTCAGGAAATCCATTCCACAGTTTGCAGCCAGCTAGCAGACTAGCAGACCAGCATGCGGGGATCACTTTTGGCTCCTTTCAGCAGACGACGTTAAAGCGCAGACATGGCTCATTGATATCGGAAATCTCCAAAGGTTGTATCGGAAAATCCGATACCCGAATTTCTCTGGTATCGGATACCGATACCGATACTGGATCGGATCGGCCCCATCCCTACTTGGTACGTTGATATTCACACTGCTTCATTGATGACAATAAGAAGCTGATGTGTTGGAGGAAACATGAGGTTTGTTAGAAGAATTTGAGGTTCGGTTGGAAACTCGACGACGGGACAGAAAAAGACCAGCTTCGATCAGCTGAGACAGTTTGTGCATCTGTTCTGTCCGCTTTACTCGCACGAGTTTCAACGCGCGAGTAAAGCGAGTTATTCGCTTCGCTTCTGGTGTGAACGCACCATTAAAGAAAGTCTGTTAACTTTAACTGCAGTTTATACTTATTTGATGTGACTATGAGTGAAACATCTCCAGGAAAACCAGCTTCACTTTGTGGTTGTAGTTCTCCTGGAGGTTGTCATCAGCATGAAAGCTTTGTGTGTTTGTAACAAGCATGATGAAGAACACAAAGAACATCAGGACGTGAAGACACACTGTAGATTGTTGGTGTGATGATGATGTTTGAGCCTCTTCTCCTCTGTCTCCTCTCACAGGGAGGAGATGATCTGCAGCATCCTGGTGATCTTCATCCTGACCTCCTGTGTCTGTGGTCGGTTCACTTTTGTGTTTGTGAAGCAGCTGTGAAGCATCAGCACACACTCCTCAGAAACATCTGGAGATGGAGTCTAAAGGCTCCATGTTAAAGCTGTCACTTTGTCACCTCCTCCTCTCCTTCTCTGTCTCCTCAGCAGGGTCATTTGTAGTGAATGTGACACAGAGCTGGTATCATGCAGAGGAGAACCACAACATCTCACTGGAATGGATGTTCCCCACCAGCACGGACCCCTCCCCCAACGGCCTTTATGTCTACTGTGAGATGTTAGCTGATGAGAGACCATCACTCATGTTTCATCTGTATGAAGGTGTCGAGGTCCCAGAGCTGCAGGATAAACGCTTTGCAGGACGAGTCCAGTGGGACAAAGACGTCCTCAGAGAAGGACGACTCAGACTTCACATCTCCAGACTCCAGACTAATGACTCGGGGCTGTACTGGTGTCAAGTGGACACAAGTTATGGGATGAACTATAAGGAATGTCACCTCAATGTCACTGGTAGGTTCATTAAGTTAAACTTACTAACACGTTTAATTCAGCAGCTTTATTCAGATAAATAAACCTTTTTCTTTACATTAATAAACAGATTTGTTGTGTCTCTTTGCAGCAGTGAAGGATCGACCCGAACCTGAGACAACGAGTGACACCAGACTGAGATGGATCGTTCTCTACTGTGTACTGGGACTACTGGGACTTACAGCAGCTCTACTGGTTGTTTATTCATTCTATCGCTGCATCACAAAAAGGATTAGAGATCAGTACAACAAACAATACATCAAAACCTCAATTAAAGTTATTGATCCTTTAAATGTTTCGCACAGAAACAGTCTGAGTTGTTCTGACGGAAGTCCAGCTGAGACACATCTGGATCTTTGGATGTCTCCTGTGTGTCTCATGGACCAACAGCAGCATGAAGGTATCAGTGAGTCCTGGGACTACTGGGACTGACAGCAGCTCTACTGGGATGTTTCTTTATTTTCTATCTGCATTGCAAAGAAAGATTAGTGATCAGCAGAACAAATGATATATCGTTGTTAAATTAAAGTTTTTGCACAGAAAGTGTCTGACTTCTGACATCAAAGTATGAATGTGTGTTAATGTACTGTGTACAAGTCAAATGAAATGTTTTCATTGCATCGCTTTCTTTTTTTTCATCCTGAGTGTAAATTGTATTTTTTCTTTCCATATTAAAATCACAAATCCAAACCCACCTTTTCAGAGCTGATTTAATGTGTGACCAACATTTTATGTTTCTATATTCCAACATTTGTTCATGTTCCAATCATTCCTATGGAATAGTGTGAGTAAGATGTAGATGTGTATTCTCTGACAACATCTACAGTCCTTTGGTTCCTTCTTAACGCTTCACCGCAGTTCAACTTGTTTTTGGGAAACTGTCACACATGTCATCACATAACGCTGATTGTCTGCCAAAGAGATTAACAACCGGTAGAACTGGTCGACTCAATCCTCTGCAGCTTTGTGTGCAGTGTGAAATCAACCGCGGGGTTGGCGGTTCGAACCCCTGCTGCTCCATGTCAAAATACGACGTTTGTGGTGACTGTTATGCTGGAATCAACTGAGGCAAAAAGCCAAATGCATGTTGGCATTTAGTCAACTATCTGACAGTGTCATGTTCTTAATCACAGGGCGGGTTGTTTTACGTTTCTCCAGCGGCTTGGCCTCTGCGGGAAGCAGTTTCTGTCGTTCTTTTACGTCTCACTTGGGTCGTCCATGTACGGGCTGCAGTTCTCACTTTTACATTTTTTTTAAGGTAGACATATTTCTTTTCATTATTCTGGTAGATGAACTCCAGCATTCTGATTGGTTGACAGTGACTCACAGGGTGTACTGTATTAAGCCGTAATGTACTGTACCTGTTTACATTTACCTGAGCGTTCCATAGCAGTGAAAACTCAATAACAGTTAGTTGATGGTTAGTTGTCATTTCAGTTTTCAGCTCGGTGGCAATCACCGAAAAAAAAGACCCGACATGCCTCAAATGAGAGATGTAAGACGCCTTTTAGCTAAAGAGGACAATTGAGGTGGACGTCATGAGCGATGTGAATGAATGAGATGGTGCGACATCTTGCAAAGAGACCTGGGATGTTTTCAGACGACGCACAAGTGAATGTCCATCTCCCAACTAATCATAAAGCAACTCCTGGTGCTAACAAGCGTGATGTTGCTGTATCTCCGTTGTACAGCAGCAGCCAAACGTACAGGGACTATTTTCTTCAGGCTACTGAAATGTGGCCACAAGGCAGCTATTTACTTACTATTAATAATGTTGCTGATGACAGTATTATAAAAGCAGTAAGGTAGTCGAGGCTGTGCTTTATTGTCAATGTTACACTTTAAGGGTTTGTCCTGAACTGGAACTGCCTCGAGTACCTTATTGCGGGAAATATTTCATCCTCAATGGATGAAATATTTCAGTATTCAGTATTTCAATATTTCATCCTTAATGGATGTAAAAACACATTGTTGAGATAAGGGATAAATCATGAGACTTATTTACAGGTTAGAATGTTTCTACCTGAGAGCCTCATAGTTAATAAACTGACCTCACAGCATTATTGGTGACACACACACACAGATGAATTCAGTACCTGTCAGTTTAGACACAATTTCTCATCGAATCGATAAGAAAATGTGTCTCAACTTTTAACTGGTGCTCTATATGCAGCAGATAATAGAAAGACATTTGCTAATAAGTATTCAATAAGAGTACAAGTACTTCAAAAGTAACTGAGTAACTAACTGTGACCTGTAGTTAAGTAAAGATTCAAACATTGACCTCTGAGATGTAGTAAAGTACATTAAGATGTTTACGGAGCAGAAGCATGAAGCGTCATTAGATCAAAGTACTGAAGTAACAAACAGTACAATGTTCACTCTCATTCCATCAGAAGATCTAAACTGTCTGTTTTATAGTAAATACGTCACATATTTAAAGTCTTTGGGGTTTCAGGACTTGTTGAATCGGAGGCTCGGGTCAACATTTATAGTCAATAACCTGAACAACAGACCATCGATGAATTACATTGTCCCCAGTTTGTAAAGTCACTTTGTTGCCAGAATGAGAAAGAGCAGAAAGCTGAATCTACATGATAATAAGACATTAGTCATTAAGTCATCAGTCACCTCATTGGGTGTAAACATTACACTACAGGTCATTTAGCAGACGCTTTTATCCAAAGCGACTTACATTACACTTTAAACACATGGCTTTTTTCACATTTTGCCCGGGGAGCAATTAGGGGTCAGGTGTCTTGCTCAGGGACACTTCGACTTGAGACATGGGGCAGCCTGGACTGGAACCACCAACCTTGCGGTTCCCAGCGCACCCGCTCTTCCCCCTGACGACACGATGACACAAATACTCCTTTGACTACAAAGCGAACAGTCTGAGCGATGTGAATTCCTTTCATAGTTTCTCTTCTGTTTCTGTCCTCGCTGCATCTCCAAAAAGAGGCGTGTCTCTTCAAACAGGTCCGACTACAAC